CTTAAATCTTAAAATATATTATAATCTTATCTTACAATATATTTTAAATCTTAAAATATCTTAATTTATAACAATGTGCCGAAACCGGTTTGCTCAGTGGATAGAGAGTCCGCCTGCGGACTGAAAGGTCCCAGGTTTGATTCCAGTCAAGGGCATGTACCTTGGTTGCAGGCACATCCCCAGTAGGAGGTGTGCAGGAGGCAGCTGATCGATGTTTCTCTCATCGATGTTTCTAACTCTCTGTCTCTCCCTTCCTCTCTGTAAAAAATCAATAAAATATTTTTTTAAAAAAATTGTAACAATGTACCTTAATCCATAATGTCAATTTCATACAAAATCTCTGCTGGTTGCCATTTCTACCCATGAACCCACATAAGTTGATATGACATTATCTTTAATGTTGTTTGTCTAATAGAAGAGATTTAAGATTTTATTCCTTTTATTTATTTTTTATTTTTTAAAAATGCTTTTTTAAAAATATATTGATTGACCGCCTCCTGTACACCCCATCTGGGGAAGGAGCCCACAATATAGGCATGTGCCCTGACCAGAAATCAACCTGTGTCCTCCTGGTTCATAGATAAATGCTTAACTACCGAGCCACTCAGGTCGGACAGTTCCTTTTATTTTCTGAAGTTCCAGCAGAAATCAAAGTGATATGTGTTTCTTTAATACAACACCACAAATTTTCATATTTCTGTACATTTTCACATACATGGTATCTTTATATGTTCATATGTTAGTGTTGTGTATAATTTTAAAATTACCTCCAGAAGTATATTTCTAAAAGATTTGTTATAGGGCAGGTCTAATAATGAGATGGTCTAATAATGAGAAAGTTTTGGAGCTGGAAACGTTTTTTCCTCTCCATTGTTTACCATCTGTTCTCTCAATATTCTTTTTTAAAAATATATATATTTTATTGTTTTTTTACGGAGAGTAAGGGAGAGAGATAGAGAGCCAGAAACATCGATGAGAGAGAAACATTGATCAGCTGCCTCCTGCACAGCTCCCACTGGGGATGTTCCTCAACCAAGGTACATGCCCTTGACCAGAATCGAAACTGGAACCCTTCAGTCCTCGGGCCAACGCTCTATCCACTAAGCCAAACTGGTTAGGGCTCAATATTCTTGTTGGATGGTTTATGTGCATTTATCAGTTCCAAGTTTTATATCATGCTCTTTTTCCCCCGCAATATTTTTTGGCTTAGAAACCCCCTAATGATCTTAGAGAAGCTGTCTTTTCCATGAGGAATTATTTTTTATATGTTTTTAGATAGTATTCTGGGATTCTTAATATTTTCATTGTTTTTTATTTGTTCTCATGTTTATATTCATTCCACATAGAATTCACTGAGCTGCTTGCATTTGTATGTCGCTTTCTCTAATTGTCAGGATCTTAATTAATTTTTTATATAAGCTACCTTCTCCTTTTTACTATTCTGTCTCTATGGGGTCCCCTTGGTGGTCTATTTCTTAGTATCTTAGGAGTTCCTTAAATTCTCTTCACATTTCCACGTGTTTGTTTGCTTCTCTGAGTCAAAATGTTAGTGAATTAAAATTTTAATGATTTATGTACAAATTCTTTGATTATTTAATTACTATTTTTTTTCAAATTTAATAAAATAATTTTATTGCATTATCAAAGACATTCTTTTTTTTTACCCTTTTTTTTTTAATTAAACCTTTATTGTTCAGATTATTACATTTGTTCCTCTTTTTCCTCCCATAACTCCCCTCCTCCCAGTTCCCACCCTACCCTCCGCCCTCACTCCCCTCCCACTGTCCTCATCCATAGGTGCACGATTTTTGTCCAGTCTCTTCCCGCATCTCCCACACCCCTTTAACCCCCCACAAGAATAGTCAGTCCATTCCCTTTCTATGTCCCTGATTCTATTATAATCATCAGTTCATTCTGTACATCAGATTATTTATTCACTTGATTCTTAGATTCGCTTGTTGATAGATGCATGTTTGTTGTTCACAATTTGTATCTTTACCTTTTTCTTCTTCCTCTTCTTAAAGGATACCATTCAGCATTTCGTATAATACTGGTTTAGTGGTGATGAACTCCTTTAGCTTTTCCTTATCTGTGAAGCTCTTTATCTGACCTTCAATTCTGAATGATAGCTTTGCTGGATAAAGTAATCTTGGTTGTAGGTTCTTGGTATTCAGCACTTTGAATATTTCTTGCCACTCCCTTCTGGCCTGCAAAGTTTCTGTTGAGAAATCAGCTGACAGTCGTATGGGTATTCCCTTGTAGGTAACTGAGTTTCTTTCTCTTGCTGCTTTTAAGATTCTCTCTTTGTCTTTTGCTCTTGGCATTTTAATTATGATATGTCTTGGTGTGGTCCTCTTTGGATTCCTTTTGTTTGGGGTTCTCTGCGCTTCCTGGACTTGTAAGTCTATTTCTTTCACCAGGTAGGGGAAGTTTTCTGTCATTATTTCTTCAAATAGGTTTTCAATATCTTGCTGTCTCTCATCTTCTGGCACCCCTATAATTCTGATGTTGGTACGTTTGAAGCTGTCCCAGAGGCTCCTTATACTATCTTTAAGCCTTGATTGCTGTCGGCAAATTCTTTGATTATTTAATTACTATTTTTAAAATGTATATTTATTGATTTCAGAGAGGAAAGGAGAGGGGGAGAGAGAGAGAGAGAAACATCAGTGAAGAGAGAGAATCATCGATCGGCTGCTTCCTGTATGATCGGGGATCGAGCCTTCAAGTCAGGCCTGTGCCCTGATGTGGAACCAAACCGTGACCTCCTAGTTGATAGATTGAAGCTCAACTGCTGAGCCACCACTGCCAGGCAAATTCTTTGATGTTCTGAGTTTATCACGTCTTTCATTCATGATTCTAGTGTATTTTTTAATTCAGGTATTATGTATTTCAATTTCCCCTTTTGGTGTGGTATTTATAAACTATTTTCTCATTATATATATATTTTTTATTACATACTATTTTGGTGATTTTTTCATTCTTTTTGAGGTAATTAATATATTTCCATTAATGTAGTGCCAGTTTGATTACATTTATTTTGTTTTTTGGATGGTACACTTTTTCTGTTTTTTTCTTTTCTTTTCATGACTGATATCTTTTGTTGAGATTCCTGAATTGTAAAGTAGCAGGCTTTTGAACATGCTTTCTATAAGAGAAAACTACTAGCCATCTGTGGAACATATTCTACTTTCAGTCAATACTGTTTTCAGGATCTCTGTTCTTGGTTCGGCTGTTTAATTTCCCAGTTGGAAATGTTATCTGTTTCTTTCTCAGACCCGCTGTATCTTTCATGCTTGAAATACATCTTAAGTATCACAGTCTTTGTGGTGCTCGAACAATTTCTCATTTGTAGCTGCCACTATAGGGCACTCACCTTGTACCTCCATTCTGTTCGCACGCTGTATCATGCACAACAGCCACTTGTTATTCAAGATGCTTCAAAACATGGAGATCATTGAACACGCACTTCCCTCATCTCTCTCCAGCGAAGAAACTGTGAATTGGGAGTGTTTTTATAATATTGCCATTGTGTGCTAGGGGGTTGGAGCAGGTATGATCAGCAAATGTAAGCAACACTTTGCCCCTCTTTGATGTTTGTTTTCCTCATTGTACCTATCTTGAGCTTTCCTTGAATCGTTCACTGGCTCTTGGAATACTCAAAAATGTCATTTGGTCAATACTTGCTGGTAACTTCAGAGTGCACTCACCTAATTGTCAAACTGAAAATTTGTTTTCTTTCAGCTATGTCATCTGAAGATGACCAGGCCTTTATGCCAAATACCGGAATACAAGATTTATTCTCTGAAATGATATTGGTAAGATATGAAAGGTGTCACTTTGATGATCTACACTTAATGAAAGTCTTGGTATTTGAGGAAGAATGTGACAAGAACAGAAGTTATTAATATAAACAGAACTAATCTGTAACAGTTATCATAATAGAATTGTTGTTACCTAAAGAGGTCAAGTATATTATGCATTTGGGAAACTTTCCACTTTAAAGTCAGTTACATTGGCAGATCAGTGTGTTTCTGCACGTGAATGTTCAAAACTCCTTTTAATGTGATGCATTCTTGGAAGGGAAATCTGGACAGTGTAGGAATTCACATAGTCTGTAGTGTAAATAATCATTTGAATTTTGTAAGATGTAGGGTGAGATTAAACTTTCATGCAACCATTTCTTAAATGTAGAGATTTCTAATGTACCTATAAAATTTAAATATGCTCAATTGGGCAATCATTCTTATTATTATTATCACTTTTAAATATATTTTCATTGAATTCAAAGAGGAAGGGAGAGGGAGAGAGATGGTAACATCAATGATGAGTATCATTGATTGCATGCCTCCTACATGCCCCTCAAGAAGGATGGCGTCCGTAACCTGAGCCTATGCCCTTGACTGGAATCAAACCCAGGTTCCTTCAGTCTACTTGCCAAAGCTCTATCCACTGAGCCAATTCAGCTAGTGCTTTCATTATTATTTTTATTCATTATATATTTTTTAATTCAGCGAGGCAGGGAGATGAAGAGATTGAGGCAAACATCAGTGATGAGAGAGAATCATTGACTGGCTGCCTCCTGCATTCCTCACACTGGAGACTGATTGTGAGCCTGGGGCTTGTGCCCTGATGGGGCATGGAACCGTCCTTCTGGTTCAAACTTTGAGACTCAGCCATTGAACCATGCTTGCTGGCCAATTTGGCAATCTTTTTTGTTGTTGTTAATTTATTTTATTGTTTTTTTTACAGAGAGAAAGGGAGAGGGATAGAGAGTTAGAAACATCGATGAGAGGGAAACATCAATCAGCTGCCTATTGCACACCCCCTACTGAGGTTGTGCCCACAATCAAGGTACATGCTCTTGACCGGAATTGAACCTGGGACCCTACAGTCTGCAGGCTGACACTCTATCCACTGTGCCAAACTGGTTAGGGGTGGCAATCTTTTAAAAAAGGATTCATTCTTCTTCATCTGATAATTATTATTTTGTATTTAATTTTGTGTATTATTTTAATAAATTAGGAGAGCTTTTGTTATACAGGAATCTTGGTTTAGTGAGTATCATGAAATGATTCTTATGGAACAGTGTACATGTTTAATGAAATTAAAACTGTCAGTAAAAGCCTATCTATCTCTCATTACTACCAGAGTACACATAATGGAGACAGAAGTTATCAATGGAATGAACATTGGAAAAATTTTAAGCGAGAGTCATATCTTAATCATTGGAGAAGCGAACTTGCAGAGGACCATTATGAAAGTGGAAGAGTCTGTGACCCAAGGTCCAATCACAAAATACATGAGGTTATTCCTATTGTGGAGAAGACACACAAAGGAAGTCAATTTGTCCTGTCTTTTTATCAGTCATCAAATTACACTGAAGAAGAGAATATTCATACTAGGAAAGAAGCTTACAAATGGAATCATTGCGATATAATCTCCAGTCAAATAGTCAATACAAATAAAGTGGAAAAAATTCGTAGTGGAAAAAAAACTTATAAATGTAAAGATTCTAGTAAAACATCTAATTGGCCTTCAGGTTGTATGGTACATCAGAAAATTCATACTGGACTGAAGCCTTACCAATGTAAAGCATGTGGCAAGGCCTTTAGATGTCATTCATCTCTTATTGTACATAAGGGAAGAATTCATGCTAATGCAAAATTTTACAAACTCAGGGAAAATGGAAAAGCCGTTAGTCAGTCCTCAGGACATACTCAACATCATAGAAATCACATGGGAGAAAAGTTTTATAAATGTTCAGAATGTGACAAAACTTTTAGCTGGCCCTCAAGACTTAGTATTCATCAGAGAGTTCATAGTGGAGAGAAGCCGTATAAATGTAGAGAATGTGGCAAAGTCTTTAGACTGTTCTCACACCTTACTACGCATCAGAGAGTTCATAGTGAAGAGAAGCCTTATAATTGTGGAGAATGTAGCAAAGCCTTTAGCCATCCCTCTGCTCTTAATAGACATCAGAGAATTCATACAGGAGAGAAGCCTTATAAATGTAAAGAATGTGGCAAAGCCTTCACTGCTTTATCAACCCTTACTAACCATCAGAGAGTTCACACAGGAGAGAAGCCGTATAAATGTAGAGAATGTGGCAAAGCCTTTGGACAGTTCTCACACCTTACTACTCATCAGAGAGTTCATACTGGAGAGAAGCCTTATAATTGTGGAGAATGTGGCAAAGCCTTTAGCGATTCCTCCGCTCTTAATAGACATCAGAGAGTTCACACAGGAGAGAAGCCTTATAAATGTAAAGAATGTGGCAAAGCCTTTAGACAGATCTCACACCTTACTATGCATCAGAGAGTTCATAGTGAAGAGAAGCCTTACAAATGTAGAGAATGTGGCAAAGCCTTTAGCGATCCCTCTGCTCTTAATAGACATCAGAGAATTCATACAGGAGAGAAGCCTTATAAATGTAAAGAATGTGGCAAAGCCTTCACTGATTTATCAACCCTTACTAACCATCAGAGAGTTCACACAGGAGAGAAGCCGTATAAATGTAGAGAATGTGGCAAAGCCTTTAGCGATCCCTCTGCTCTTAATAGACATCAGAGAATTCATACAGGAGAGAAGCCTTATAAATGTAAAGAATGTGGCAAAGCCTTCACTGATTTATCAACCCTTACTAACCATCAGAGAGTTCACACAGGAGAGAAGCCGTATAAATGTAGAGAATGTGGCAAAGCCTTCAGCGAAACTTCATCCCGTTCTAAGCATCACAGAGTTCATACAGGAGAGAAGCCTTACAAATGTAGTGACTGTGGCAAAGCCTTTAGACGGCGCTCACACCTTACTAGGCATCAGAGAGTTCATACTGGAGAGAAGCCTTATAAATGTATAGAATGTGGCAAAGCCTTTAGACAGATCTCACACCTTACTACGCATCAGAGAGTTCATACTGGAGAGAAGCCTTATAATTGTGGAGAATCTGGCAAAGCCTTTAAGCAATTCCTCCGCTCTTAATAGACATCAGAGAGTTCATACTGGAGAGAAGCCTTATAAATGTAGAGAATGTGGCAAAGCCTTTAGCGAGTCCGCATCTCTTAATCAACATCAGATAGTTCTTACTGGTGATAAGTCTTTCAAATGTAGAGAATGTGACAAAGGATTCAGTTTGGCTTTATCCCTTAGTCACCATCAGAGAATTCATACTGGAGAAAAGCCTTATAAATGTGATGAATGTGGCAAAGCCTTTACCCATTACTCATCCCTTAATCGTCATCACAGTATTCATACTGGAGAGAAGCCTTATAAATGTACAGAATGTGGCAAAGCCTTTAGACGGTTCTCACACCTCACTACACATCAGAGAATTCATACTGGCGAGAAGCCTTATAAGTGTAATGAATGTGGCAAAGACGTTCATGATATCTCATACTTTGCTAAGCATCAGAGAATTCATACTGGACAGAAGCCTTATAAATGTAATGAATGTGGCAAAGCTTTTACCTGTTACTCATCCCGTAAGCGTCATCAGAGAATTCATACTGGCAAGAAAACTTACATATGCAGAGACTGTGGAAAATGCTTTGGCACCTCTTCTTCCCTTACTTCTCATCAGAGAGTTCACACTGGAGAGAAGCCTCATAAATGTAAAGAATGTGGCAAATCCTTTGGAAGCTCCTCAGAACTTACTAAGCATCAGAGAGTTCACAGTGGAGAGAAGCCTTATACATGTAGACAATGTGGCAAATCCTTCACTACCTCATCAAAGTGACATACCACCAGAGAGTTCATACTGGAGAGAAGCCTTATAAATGTAACGAATGTGGCAAAGCCTTTAGCCAGTCCTCATCCCTTACTTCTCATCAGGGAATTCACACTGGAGAAAAGCCTTATAAATGTAGAGAATGTGGCAAAGCCTTTAGCCAGTCCTCATCCTTTAATTTTCATCAGAGAGTTCACCAAAGAGTGTAGCCTTATAAATGTTGAGAATGTAACAGCATTTTCTCAGAGTTCCTGCCTTATTGTACAGCAGAGTTCATACTTGATAGAAGTCTTACAGATGTGTGGAGTGTTGTAAGTCCTTGACCAGCTGTGAGAACTTACTGAACATCACAGAATGATACTTGGACAAAGCCTTATGAATGTGAAAAACGTAGACCAAAACTTTAGAAGGCATTCATCTCTTATTGTACCTGAGAGACTTTATACTAAAGAAAGTCATTACAAATGTATACTTTGGGCTGCAGCCTTTACCCACTGCTAAAAATTTACTGAACATCAGAGATTTTACAATGGTGGAAAGCCTTATACTATTGAAAATGTGAGAAAGCCTGTGGTCTAACCTACTCAACATTTTAGGAATCATTCTAAAGAAACACAGCAGTAATTTAAGTTTTCATTTAAGGATCTAGGCTTCAATGGTTGAAGCTACATTGAGAATGATAAAACAAGGTCTTACAAATTATCAGGCATATCTCAAAGTGTATATCCTCATTTATATCTCATACAACATATCATTATTACTGGATTGAAGTCCAGCAGATATAAAGAATGTGACAAAGCTTACTCACTGTGCAAACCTTACCTGACATGAGAATTCATACTGGGGAGAAACAATACAAATTTAAACAGTGTCCTAAAGTTTTTCATCAGCATCTGTAGCTTATTCCTCACATTGGTATTTATTCTAGGGGGAAACCTTAAAACTAAAGAATGGGAAATCATATAGTTGGACCTACAGCCCCAGTCTTATCAGGGATTGCAATTGGGTGGAAATTCTACATTCATGATATAGGAGGAAGGACTTTTGTTTAAAATGTACAGTTTATAAAACTCCAAGTAACTTATGCCTTAACAGATTTTAAAGATATAAAAACGTTATCCAAGTATGTAATTGATTATGAATTTTAAAGCATCAATGAATTCACACTGGATAGCTAGCCAAAATGCCTTTCAGGAATTGCTCTAAATTAGTACACCCAGTGTATTTTAAACTTTAAATGTAGCTAGTAAATATTGGTATACTTGAATATATCAAAGGAATTGATGTTTCCATATGTACAGTTACTTAGAGTGTTATTTATATTGAAATCATTTGAAGTATTTTGAAAAGGAAATATTATTGTGATTCTGTTCCCATATCACTTGGTGCTGCTGTGTTTTATTCCTGGTGTATGTGTGAAATTATGGGGTTGATTGTTTCTGCCTTAAAGATCTGTGAGCTGTTGTATACTATATGGACTTTACTTGTGTACTTTCCCATGGAATATTGTGTACATGGTAAGGGACACTATTTTCTTCTATTAGAGAATAATCCTATTGAATAAATCTTTTAAAATAGTTCTCGAGTTTTGTAAATTATGTCTTCAAAGTTACTTCCTTTTCTGTGCCACTGTGTTGAGCTGAAAACTTTTTGAGAGCATGTCAATTTGTGGTTGTGACATTTAGGTGGCCAGACCTACCTTCAGGACAGTGCTGTCTGTGTAATAGATTTTCCATAATTAAGAGGTATATTGCAATACCAGTGACGTTGTTGTACCCAGGATGCAGAATCAGCATGAACTCTGAACGTGGAGAGAGGACATCTTTCTCAGGCTGCATTGCTAACTGAACTCAGAAAAATTAATTCTATTTCTTTCATTTCTCATTCCCAGTTCCTCTGGTTTTTCACTTTGTCTTCTAAGCTGCCATTCCTTTGGCAGTGGTGGAACTACAGCATGTAAAGCTTCCTGTCCCTCATCAGCCTTTCAAGCCTCTGTATCTTCCACTCAGTAGTTTGGAATTTACAATGCAGTGACTGACATCAGAATGTGGCAAATATTTTGCTTTATATTCATGAAGTAGGTAGCCCACGTTTGGGGTTCTCATGCTGACACCTATAGTTTTTAATATGAATATGAAGCTTTGGAATACCACAAATTGGCATCTGTGTACTTTGTAATTGGAATGATTTTTCTTGTCCTGATTTTCATTGGAAACCTTAAGAATTTCTCATTGTTATCCCGTTAACTTTTTTTTAAAATATATTTTATTGATTTTTTACAGAGAGGAAGGGAGAGAGATAGAGAGTTAGAAACATCTATGAGAGAGAAACATCGATCAGCTGCCTCCTGCACACCTCCTACAGGGGATGTGCCCGCAACCCAGGTACATGCCTTGACCGGAATCATACCTGGGACCTTTCAGTCCGCAGGCCGACGCTCTATCCACTGAGCCAAACCGGTTTCAGCCCGTTAACTTCTTTATTGGGGGTAATTAACCCATGTTATACTGGTTTTATTCTCACTTTTTTAAATATGTTTTTTAATTATTTTAGAGAGAAAGGGAGAGGGAGCGAGATAGAAACTTAAATGATAAGAGAATCTATTCTCTCTTGAATGTAGCTTAATGTTTGTCATTCTTTCTAGAGGAACCACAGATACCATGGCTGCTTTGCAGTTGAAACCTTTTGTTATTTTGGATGGAAATTTTTTTTTTTTTATATTCACAGCCTGACCAGAGGTATGTCCATTGGCTTTATCTGTCCCTAGAGTTTTTGAAGCCATCACTATACATTCCAGGGATAGCAGGTAAGCAGAGATTGAAATGAAAGCTGCACATTTATTGTCCAGTGTCCAGGGCTGAATTTACCAGGTGGTAAACATCGGTTCCATTTGTGAGTATAAACAAGTCATCTTTTCAAAGAACAGTTTAGACAGCTGCCATTTTGTACTGCGTGACTTGGCAGCCGCCAGCTGGCCACGTGGCTTGCAGCTCCCCTGGGCGCTGCCATCTTGAAAGAGCAATGGCCAACCTCTCCCTTTGAATTAGCCAATCGCGAAAGACTGTGCCTGAGCTCCAATCAAGAGCAAAGGACAGGTCACCTGCGTCAGGGATTATACAGCTGAGCACACCACCTGTTTGGTTTGCATCTGCTTCCAGACCATGTGTGTGCACCTTCTATGTAGAAGTAAAGATGTTTGCCTTGCTGCCTGGCTCCCGAGTATGTTTTGTGTTCTTCCAGGACCCCTGAATTTGGGGGCTCACCTTATTTCTAACTCTATGCATGTGCCCACCTAAAGGACAAAGTCATTGCAGAAACAAGATGTTCAATATTCTTCTACTATACTTTCTGACATACCCATGGAGCATTCGTAAGGATATGTATGTGATGATATTTTATGACGAAGATTCATCTGAACCAGGGGCTTTATGAATTTGTTCCGTTACAGGACATACTAATTGTACCAGTTAATTCGGATTTTGTAATCAAAGAAAATACGATAATTTCAAGAGAAACATCAGAAGTGCTTTACTCAAGGTAATGTCCATTGTGAGCTACTCATTTTCCCCATCTTTCAGGGAATTTGGGGATACCATACCAATAGAACTTTCCTTGTTTTGAGGCAAACCATTCAGAGACTCAGTTTTCCACTTTGTACGTTTTGAAGTGCTGCTCAGAAAGTGCATGTGCCATCTATCAGAACAAGTGGTAATCTGAAAGAGCAAGGACTAATTCAGGGGTGGGCAACCCCTGGCACGTGTGCCAAATATGGCATGCCAGTAACTTTTGCTGGCTTGCGAAACCCTCTCTTATAATCTTCCCTTTACAATTTTTTTGAACATTTGAATGACTTAAATGTTAAATTACAAGGAACTGACAAGACACTTGATGTTATGTTTGGTTACATAAAGGCTTTTGAAAAGAAACTGGAAGTCTTTAAGAGGGATGGGGATGGTGAGTGATTTAGTTATTTCCCAAACCTCAAGAGGCACATCAAAGACTCAAAGACCTCCAAAAGATGACAGAACGGACTGTCAAAGCCTTCAAAAGCTGTTTTTAACCCTTTTCGGTCCAACATGGAGGCTGACTCGCCAGACCAGGTGCTAAGAGCAGGTCCAACATCGAGCTGAGGTCTAGTGAGTCAGTTAACTTCAACATTCAATCCCGTCAATTAATATGGACCAGACTGTTTGAATTCCAAAAATAAAATTGGACCCCAAAGGGTTAAACATCATCGCGTCAACTATTGAGCAGCTCTCTAGATTTGCGTAATTCAGAGAACTGGAAGAGCCAGCAAAGTTCATGAGGTTTCCAGACAGCATGAAACTGGAGGAACTAAACTTACAAATGTTTTCATGGATAGACATGGCTGACTTTGAAAAGCAGTTGATTGAGTTTCAGAGTAGCTCAATTTGGAAGCAGAAATTTATTGACCTTGGAGTTGACTTGGAAAACATTGAAAAAAAGCGATTAGAGACAGGAGTACCAGAGAGAAGTGTCGAAAACAAACTCTTGAGGACTTGGAATGCCATTCCAGAAAATTTTTCTCTTTAAAAAACTTTGCAACAGCGTTACTCTCCATGTTTTCATCCACATACTCTTGTGAATCTTTGTTCTCAGTGATGAATTTTGTTAAAGTCTCGTAATAGGAGTAGCCTGACGGATGAAAGTAGTAGCTTTTGCATACCTCTGAAGGTCACAAAATATAAACCTGATGTAAAATCTGTCATCAGTGATGTGGCAGCAAAAGTCCCACTAATTATATCAAACAGAGTCATAAAGTTTTCTGTCGGACTATCAGTGTACATGTGTACATTAAAAAATAAATGTATTCTTCATCATCATATACTGTGTTTTTGTCGCTCGAATGAATTTTATTATTTCTTCAAGGTTCTTCACATA